AGAGCTGCAGCACCCTTTACCGTAGCGTAGCGTGCACTGGATAACAAACAGCCATTGGAATTCACTCAAAACGGACCCACGCCTGAAATAATCTTCAATTATTCCATCCATCTGAACTGTGTGGTGTGAAAGGTGCTGTAGCGTTAGCTCTCAGTCTCCGCGACAAAACACGAAGAAGAATAACTACTTCTGGTTGACAGGCTTACGTCAAGATACTTTGAGCTATTTCGACATAGATAAGTTGGAATTTCGATTTAGCTATTATAAGCTATTATTTCTTTGTAGCTTCTTCCGGTTCTTTCAAACCAGGAACTCTCAATGAGACGAAAGAGACTGCTTTAGATTTTATAAAAAATAACCGTGCTGGTTTATTCAGAGGATCACAGGTAAAATTCACAGGACACGTCCAGAGCTCTCTCACCCCTCTGCCTGCAGGCAGCAGAAAAGCTGAAGATGTCTGGACCCAACAACCTATATAATATTAATCATTTTTGGGCTAGCCCATGCTACAAGGGGCGTCAAACCGTGACGCCACCCGATAAGCAAGCTTTGCAGCTGCTCTATCGTTTAGCCAAAACATGAGGAAAAGTCAAGGTGCGTGACTGTTGTTTTCGTGGTGTGTATCTAAAACAATTGGACATAACCTTACACATTAAGACAAATATTAAGACTAGCATTACAGTTGACACTAACAGCAGTTTTCCTGTAACCTTGACGTGCCTGCAGTCTGCACTGCAGGCTGAATAGTTAACAGCCTAAGCCAGTCACCCTGTCTGAACTAAACATTCATAGACAACAAATCTCTGAATATCTATCTAACTAAAAAATAACCCAACATATCTATCCAATATCTATCTGACTAAAAATACCTAACAAGGCTTAGTTTTGTAGTTTTATAAAAATACATTTACAATGCATCAATAGGGTAGAGAGGAGGACTTCAGCCAACTGTTACTAAATATCACACAGTCTATTGTCTTTATTTCCATCTTTAAAAAAACTGGCATTCTGTAAAAACTCATCAAAGACGTCACTTAAGACCATAACAGTGAGGGCAGGTCAACTTTTATTTGAGACAATGTCCCTGTTGAAATCCTGTTTTAGTAAACTATAATGTGAGTTTAGTTAACCTTAATCCGTGTATCTTATTTTTAATTATATACTCCATTCAGGCAGATCACGGGGCACCTCTGCAGCCGCGGGTCCTTCCGTTTGGCCATGACGTCACGGCGCAGCGTAGTGTCGTCAGCAGCTCGCGAAGTCTCGTCCTCAGACAGAGGTGAAAGGTTCATGTCAGGAGCTTTACCAGTGTTAACGAGTAGCTGAGTATGTACTATAGACTGAACGGCGTTACGCAGCGGCTCATCGGAGCTCCAGCTGCCGCGTACAGCCCACAGGTGAGCCATGATCACCGAGTGACCTCGTTAGCACCGGGAGAGTAGCTAAAGTTAATGTAAATGCTAATGCTAACAGTAACACGAGAGCTGGAAGATGAAGAGGAGTCAATGTATCGATGTTCCATTGATTGTTACTGAAAGGAATTGATATGAAATTGTTTATCGATAAATGAGTTTCTAAATAAGGTTTAAGTATGACCCCAGGTCAGTCAGCTCAGACTTTATTAAAGATTTAAATGAACTGGCAAAAATATGAAATTTACCTTATTGTAACAGACTGTTTTAGTTGAGCCCACGTAAATACTCGGCTACATTATTAACGGATAATTGAGAAACAGAATGTGATCAGCTGATCAGTCACGGATCGGTAAATACAAACTACTGCTGACAAATCCATTTATTACAAGTAAGCAGTTCAATGTTTAATCCAAGTCATTTTGAACTTTAATGCCGGATTTCCTTTAATGACGTCAGCTTTGAAAAACATTTTGTCATGATTCATTTGATTAATCGTTTCTCCGTTGAAACGTGAAGATTTGCTTTACAACCAACTTTCTCAATATGTTGGGATGCTATGTAAAATGTAAATAAACATGAATGAAATCTTTAGAAAACTCCTTTTACCCCATGTTCATTTGGTAACAGTACTGTGGTAGGAGATCTAATGTCCATATTAATATATTTTGGATTAGATACGCTTATTCTGAATTTGATGCTAGCAACACCCTCCAAAACAAGTTCGGACAGGGGCAACAAAAGACTGAAAAAGTTGTGTAATGCTTAAAAGAAGCTGGTGCCACAGGTCAACATCGTGGCTGGGTATAAAAAGACCATCCCAGAGAGTTTCTCAGAAGTAAGGACGGGGAGAGCTTAACCACTTTGTTTGGCAAATGCTTCAGCAATGTCAGAATAATATTTTTCAGTGTAAAACTGCAAAGAGTTGGAGGTTTTCATCATCTACAGTACATCTTTAAATGATTCCAAGAGTCTGGAGAAATCTCTAAACATTGGGCAAGGGTTAAAAACCAACAGTGAAGGGCTGTGACCCTCGGGCCCTCAGTGACACTGCCTTGAAAACAGACATGATTTTGTAGTGAAATAATCATATCTAAACAAGATCCAGAAACGCTGCCAACCTGTCTGGGCTTGAGCTCATTTAAGGTGGACTGAGAATGAAGTAGAAGCTGTTCTGTGGTCTGACAAGCCAGTATGTGGAAATTCTTTTTTTTTCAATCATAAAACCTAACACTTAACCCTTTAATGTATATGATGTTTGAACAGACTGTTCTCAGTTCTGTTTTTAAACTAAATAAAAATGTGTCAAAACATACATGTTTCATATAAAATTACTATAATCCTCATGTTTGTATTTTCTGTAAGAAGGAGATTAACAACAACAACAATTAGAATAACAGTACGTTCTCATTTGGTCTACCTGTCTGTGTGTCCTCAGGGTCTGTGTCCAGGTGTCCCACCTGTCAGTCCTCCCGTCATCTTTGCATCTCCAACTAAACTGGCTTCAGAAACAGGAAGTCAGGCGGAGTACCTGAGAGCCAATCGAATCCCTGACCTGCAGAAACTCTTCCAGGTAACTTGCATTACAAACGCGTAACTCCATTGCACAGTAAGCATATCCAGGTACTACAGCATATTTTGTGACAGTCAACACTGAACATCCTTGTATTCTTCATCCTCTTGAACATGGGCAGATTCAAGAACAGTTTATTTCCTAAGCAATCTATACTGTTAATCAAAACATGTAAAATGGAAAGTGTCTGCCATTTCATGTGCAATAGTATCCCATGTACACAGTGGCGGTTCTACAGTGAATTACTCCCCGGGTGAGAACCCCCTCTGAGCATGTCATACCAAACAACCGTGCAGATGCTGAAGCGGTATGACCCCACCTCCTCAGACAAAGACTAGGCCTCAGCCTTTATAGCAGGGTCTTTGGTGTTGTCTCTCACCTCAATTAAAGCCTCTCTCACGGCAGCTCCCTGGTACCTCATGGGCTCGATGCTCTTGACCCTGCTCTCCCACCTTGTTTCTGACCACATCTTTAAGGTGATGCTCACATGGTTCTTCAGTATGGCCCATCTTTGGGAGGAGGCTGAAAATAACGTGTAAGGCTTTTGCAGGACACCAAAGTAACTCATAGCATCAACAGATC